CGTTTGCTGTCATTGACTGCTCGCGACAAAACGAATCCGTCAAGAGCGCTACCGTGGATGTGCAAATAGAATTTGACTGCAAGGAGAATGTACCTGCCAATATTACCGCCTATCGCCTCATCATACATGATCGTATTATCGAATACTGCCCGCTGTTCAACGTAGTGCGCAAGATTATGTAAATCGCACCGTCCGCAATTATCTTCAATTTAAGAGAGATTAACACTGACATGAGTGCAGTTTCGAATAAATGCTCGTCATGATCATACCAACGTTTGTGGATCTACAAGGATTCGTCGTTGACAAGAAATTTATCGTCAAGGAAGTAGCGGTGCTGAGAAGAGGAACTGTTATCACACACTACATTTTTTCATGTCCCATACTATGGAATTTACTGACAAGATCCGACAAATCTTGCGCTTCCTGGTTGAGTGCTTATCACCATGGATTGCGATGGGAAGACGGGATGGTCCCGTACAGCATGGCGAAACGTCTAATCATAGAGGCTGTAATAGAAGACGATGAAGCTCTCGTATATGTAAAGGGGCTTGAAAAACGACAATGGCTATCCGATATATTCGATTGCGATAATGTGATCGTTGAAACTCTAGATGCGCATTATGAAGATGTAGAATCCCTACATAATATAGATACTTGTAATACAATACAGTGTGGAAGACACGCTAAGAATTGTGCTTTACAAAATGTATTTAAAATATTCAACTGGTGGTCGCAGCACCAGGAATAATTGTAAGATTTTTAAAATAAATGTAAGATTTTTAAATTGATACGTTTTATTTCCGTTACCCGTATCACCCATACCACATAATAGATACAAGTTAAATGTAGACTGGTAACTGTTTACGGTGTACCGATAGCGGTTCAATAGCTGTCTGATAGCTGTTCGAAAGCTGTTTATAGCAGTTCAATAGCTGTTTGGTAGCTGTTCGATAGCTGTTCGATAGCTGTTCGATAGCTGTTCAATAGCTGTTGACAGTATACCGATAGCTGTCTGATAGCTGTCTGATAGCTGTTCGATAGCTGTTTACAGTGAACCGATAGCTGTCTGATAGCTGTTCGATAGCCGTTTGATAGCTGTTTGATAGCTGTTCGATAGCTGTTTACAGTGAACCGATAGCTGTCTGATAGCTGTTCGATAGCCGTTTGATAGCCGTTTGATAGCTGTTTGATAGCTGTTTGATAGCTGTTCGATAGCTGTTTACAGTGAACCGATAACTGTCTGATATTCGTATAATTGCGCTTCAAATGCTGCAATGAATAAAATGCAGAAGTTTCTTCATGGAATAGTTTGAGTGCGATGTCTTCTCATATACTTTTTAGCTGATATATATACTTTTTGACTAAGATATAAATCTTTAACTGAGGCATTGCACTTTTGCATGGAGACACTGAACTTTGAAAATGTTGATGCTGCGATCTCTTTTAAAATATCATTTTGTCAAGTACATCTTTAGTATAAATGCTCGCACAATATCGAGGTCCATCAGTCTATCAGTCAGTTGTCAAGCAGCCAGTTTGTTAACTTATTTCATTCACGTTTTTTTTTTCATTCACTTTTTATTTTTATTTTTATAATAGCCCGCATTAATGATTTGGTTGGTAATATAAACAACATTAACATACAGGCAAATATATTAAAAAATAAAACCGAAGAATTAATAGCTAGTGTGTTAAATTTACAAGCAGTGGTGACAGACGCTGAGCGGGAAGCACCCGCTACACTGTTGAGAAACATCGACCTCAGCGTGGATAATCCCCTGAGTGAGACAATGTAAGTATTAAAGTATTAATTCTATAATTAATTAATATTAAAGTATTAATATAATTAATTAGTATTAAAGTATTAATTCTATAATTGATTAGTGTATTCGAGCTATACCATTTCTGCTTGACAGCATTAGTCTTGATTGAAATAATTATTAAAATTTATTCATCCTAATGTTGATATAATTTCTACTGATTCGCATTATTAATTTTATATTCTTTTGTTCTAGACATGATACTGCTAATGTCATCACCCAGATTAGCAGGGTGTTGGATGTGATGAATGAATCAATACAGAAAACAGAGGCGGATGTTCGAAGAATTGGTCGAAGAAATGGTAGGAGAGGACTAAGGAGGAGGAATGATGGCGATGACGATGAAATTATCATTGTCATGGAAGAATGAGGTGGACTCTGAGCGGGAGGATTGGAACTGTAAGTATATTTATATTCATACTAATATTTGATAAAACCATCATCTATACCGCGTATTAATGTATGTCTTTTGTTTAATTTTCAGAAATTATAGACATCATTATTTTTATTATTATTATTATTATTATTATTAT